TGCCTTGAAATTGTCCAGATGAGCCTTTTGATTGCTCAGTTTCCCCTATCTATATTATCCGACGGAATAGGCAGCTTATTCCGCTGACCTCCTCCGTTTGGGACACAACAACTTCACACACCTCCGTTAGGGTCTACTGATGGGTAATCAGCTTGTTGTGTCCGGCTTTTCTTGTCCCGTTGTCCCTCCACGCCCCCTTCTTCGTCGAGAATGTCGCTGAGCGTAGCGAAGCAGGGTTATAGGACATATTTTGAAATCGTAGGATAATCCTACCCGCTAAATCCCTCCTACCCCAACTGTTGTTACCCTAAGTCTACTGTAGTTTACCCTAACTTTACTGTAGTTTACCCTAACTTATTCTAATGATGCAGGCCTGCTGAATGGCCCTCTGTGATTCTTTGAACACCCCAGAGGCTGTCTGGCTTTCCAGGAAGCCTGCCGTGTGAGAACGAACGGTCAGAAAATTAATTCAGGCGGCGTGGAAGGAGCTGACGCACCTACAGCCATGCACAGGCAGCCAGGCAGCCCGCAGCGACAGTCGCGAGCTTGCTGGTGCATGTACGGGGCGCGTAGCCGCCCACACGGTCGTAGGTGACACAGCGTGGCCATCCAGGCAGCCCATGCTTGCTTGGGAGTGATAGAGCAGTCCCAGTACAAGCGCGGGCTTCCTAGAAGGCCACACTCACGAGAGGGAGTCAGAACGACGGCCATACACATAGACAAACATGAGGGACTTACCTCCATCAGTGTGGGCTGCTAGGAAGCCCACGCTGTCGGAGTCAAGGTCTATTAGTCAAAAGAAAGTAAGTTAGTAACTGATCACACTCACCGTGGGCTTCTAGGAATGCCACGCACACAGTGGGCCAACAGAGGACTCACGTACATCAGCGCGGGCTGCCAGGAAGCCCACGGCGACCGTGATGAGCTTGCTGGTACATGTATGGGGCGTAGCCGCCCCCGCGTGTCATAGGTGACACAGCACGGCCATCCAGGCAGCCCACGCTTGTTTGGGAGTAATGAACTAGTTACAGTACAAGCATGGGCTGCCTGGATGGCCACGCTCATGAAGGGGAGTCAGAACAACGCCAGGGGACTCACCTCCATCAGTGCGGGCGGCCAGGAAGCCCGCGCTATCAGAGTCAACACCTATTAGTCAAGAACAGGTAAGTGAGTACGTACATATGGTGCTACACTCACCATGGCCTTCCAGGAATGCCACGCGCGCAGTGGGCCCACAGAGAATACGTGTACATCAGCACGGGCTGCCAGGAAGCCCGTGCTGTCGGAGTCTACACCTGTTAGTCAAGCATGAGTAAGTCAGTACGTATTCTGTTGGTCCTACACTCACTGTGGCCTTCCAGGAAGCCCATGCATGCAAGCGCCACATATATTCAGTCCACCTACAGCATGGGCCGCGTGGAAGCCCACGACGAGCATACGTACGTCCCCCATTGTATAAAGTTTGTATACCCTACTTACCATACATTCTCATTCACAACGCGGGCTGCCTGGCCGGCCACGACGTGTGTCGACAAGCCGTAGGACTTACAGCCCTCCATTCAGTGGGCTTCCTGGCCGCCCATACGGTGGCTTAGCATTGAGACTCTCACTCGAAGACATCACCTCACGCTGGCCTCATCGTCGACTGAGTTATTCCACTTGATCTACGGCTCAAAAATTCCTCTTTTCTATGTTTTGTAGTGATACATTTCTGTTCTTCATCTCACTGGGCCTCCGCGCCGCCCGTACTATGTATTGTAGTTAATATACTGTTGTTTATATGCATGATGAACGTACCTAAGTCATTCATCTGTGGGTGGGGGTGCTTGGCGCAGTCTACGTCGCATTTCCCTTCGTCCTACGCTCACGAATTGAATATTAGATCGCGTCTGGTGACTTGGTTAGGAAAACTCACGTCGTTCGATCCGGATCAAATTCCTCCACGTCGTGTACAGAGCGTACGCGATGCCGACGACGATCTGGGCGATATTGATAGCGTGCAAGATGTTCATGGTGGTGCTAAGCAGGTTCTGACGTACGTAAATGAGGCCTGCGCTTCACCACGGGCCGCCTGGAAGCCCACGCGGTGAGTACGTACTCCTCCCATCATACCGTACTCACTCGACTTCACTCACAGGGCGGGCTGCCTGGATGCCCATACGGCGCTCAAGTTCCCCTGGCAGTCTAGCGAATGTTCAGCAAATTGGATGTTCGTAGCTATGTAAAATACAACATGGGTAGTACATGCGTTGCAATACAAGATGTGAAGAAAGTAAGTACGTGATACAGCAGCAGCGAGATGAGTACAGCAGGGGGGGGCATAACGACATGCGGGGCGGGGGGGGTCTACCATGGAAAAGTATCTGAAGGAGGTCCAAGTTAGCAGATGGCGCTGGAGGGGATGAAGTACTTACCGTCGACGCTAAAAATCCTGCGTTCGTCGGTGACATCCTCCAGCAGCATCACCTTGACGAGCATGCGCAAGGCCCCGTTCTCCAGCCCGCAATGGACGCGCTAGTCAAGTTAGTGGCAGGCGAACGTTAAAGGGACGAGCTACTTACCTTGACAGAGCCACCCACGTCGGTGGTCCACTTGTACTGCGCTCGTTCGTTTCGCGCGTAGACGGCCAGTTGCTGGCCGTGGACGACAACCTCGACGTCCTCGTGCTCGATGCCCGGGAGCTCAAGTTGGAAGGCGAGGGCCTTGCTGACATCCTTCGCCCAGATAGAGCTATATTGGTGTCAGATGAGCGGCGAACGCGTAATCGCGTACTTACGAAGGAGGGAGTACGACGGGCATACGCCCGAGTGGAATGGGCGAAGGACGGGGGGTCGGCGATGCTGGTACGTCGCAGTATGAAAGGGCGGGTGATGATGGTTGGACATGGATTGCCAATGGCGAATCGACGAGGAGGGGCGACGGCGATTGAATGCGGGTGGGCGCGGGAGTTGGCGAGTGTGGTACGCCAGACGGCCCTGGCGTTGGCGAATGGCGGGATGGTGGCGATAGGACGGGGGTGGGCCATTTCGCGGGAGTTGGCGAGCGTGGTACGCCAGACGGCCCTGGCGTTGGCGAATGGCGGGATGGTGGCGATAGGACGGGGGTGGGCCATTTCGCGGGAGTTGGCGAGCGTGGTACGCCAGAGGGCCCCGGCGTTGGCGAATGGCGGGATGGTGGCGAGATGGCACGCAGGAGTAGGTCCTCCACGGCGCGGGAGGAAGCCTGCGATGACTTGAGCTGGTCGACCTCCTCCGTTTGGTGTCGAGTCGTCGCCGCAAGAGGGAGACGCGTAGCCTTCTCTGCCTTCTTGGGCTGGCGTGCACGATTGGGAAGGGCGCCCCGCCTTCTCATTTCGTCGCGGAAATATGATGCGAATCTCTGTAAATCAGTTAGTACACCCCATAAGATAGAACAGGCCACGCACCTTGTTCTGCCTGTCCGTCATGTCCCACTGGGACAGCCACTCCTCCCGAAAGTCCACCCAGAACCTCTTGCGCCCAAATTCATCGTCGATCGTGTCTTGGAAGGCGTCGGCCCTCGAGGTCATGAAGGCTAGCTGGGCTGGCGTGGCCCACGGTTCGTCTAATCGTTGTCGAGGTGGCATCGTTGTGGTGGAAGGGAGTAGAGATGGCGGAACGGAAGAGAGAGTGGCCAGTGCGCAGGCGCCAAAGCCCACAACCCTGAGTCACGTCACATTATGTGACCTGGCCCCTGCGCCCCAGTCACGGTCTCCCTTCGCCACGGGCAGCTTGGAAGCCCACAATGTGAGTACACATGCAATGTATATAACATATAACGCGGGCTGCTTGGACGGCCACGTTCACGATGAGAGGTCCTGCTGGTGAAAACAGGTCAGCGCAACGGTCCAGGACTCTCCACGACGCGCCAGGAAGGCCGTGCATGCGATACGACTCACCTCCATCGGCGCGGGCTGCCAGGATGCCCACGAGAACCTGTATCAGTAAGTCAGTACGTACTCATGCGGCCTCACTCACAGTCGCCTTCCAGGAAGCCCGTGGACGCAGAGGAGTACAAAAATACTCCCCCAACATCCACACGGGCAGCCAGGACGCCCGCGCTCACGCTGGAGAGTCCTGTGAATGAATACAGGTAAGTCCACACGTCAATCTAGTTGTCGTGCACTCACCGTGGCCGGCGAGGAAGCCCATGCGTGCAGACGAATATGATACACGACCCCCACGCCAGCATGGGCTGCCAGGAGGGCCGTGTTGTCAATGGCAGCGCGTATCTGTCAAAGTACGTAAGTCAGTACATGTTCTATACGTACCACGCTCACGGTGGGCTGCTAGGCCGCCCACGCGCAGAGGCCAGACGATACGGGCGGCCTGCGTACATGTCGACACCAACGGCGGGCTTCTTGGACGCCCACACGTGTACGCAGGCACTACGGGCGACACTGCGCTCACCACGGGCGGCCTGGAATGCCGAGACATATTCTGTGAACGTATAACGGTCGGTAAGTTCACGTTAACGCAACTAAGACTTACCATCACCAGCCAGGATGACCAGGCGTGCAGACGAAGTCGATACGGCGGACTTAGGATGCTGGGATGCCCACGCGGGTAGGGGGAGTACTGGGGCGGTCGACTGCGCGAGCATGGGCGGCCAAGAGGCCCGTGTTAATGGGACCTGTCAAGGTACGTACGTCAGTACGTGTTCAATATGTACCACACTCATGGTGGGCTGCTGGGACGCCCACACATGCACGTAGACGATACGCGGGATTCCTCGTCAACGCGGGCGGCCAGGAACCCCGCGCCATACTTTGCGAACGTATGGCAGTCACCCACGCCAGCTGCGTTGACAATGGCAGCATGTACGCATGTCAGTACATACTTACATACGACACTCACGGCGGGACACCCACACGAGTATGTAGACGAAATCCTAGATATGTGAAAACAGTAAAAAGTAAAGTAAAAAAATGTACGCGAGAGTATGTATATAAAAGTACGAATGTATACGATATGCGAAACGACCTACTTGCGACCACGAGCGCGACCACCGCCTCCACGGCCACGAGGAGGACGAGGAGGGGGGAGATTGACCTTGGGGACATGTTCCCGGGGTTGGGCCGTCGCCGACTGTGACATATGGACTCGTTTCGCCGCAAGGGGGTCCTCATCTGACGACGACTGTTGGTCTGAGCCAGACAAGTCTGACAAGTCGGCTATCAGCGACGTGAAGTCTTCGCCGTCATCTGGGACTGCTGTGGGACGTCTATGCGCTCGAGGCCCGCGGGTTTCGCTCTGTTTGTCGACCGAAGAAACACGCGACGGTTCCCCCTCTTGCTTGATCCTTGCAATCGCCCCGATGTCGAGGTCGTCCTCAGAGTCAGTCCCCGGGAGTCGACGCCTCTCTGCATCTCTTCGCGCCATCTTTGCCTGCCTCTTCTCAGTTCGTGGCGATTTCTCTGGCGACGAGTGTGGTTTATGCTTAGATCCAGCCCGTGGTGGCGTCGTCGGGTCTGCCTGCGTCCAAGGGGGACGAAAGCCAGGAGAGTCGACATGTCTGGCCTTCGAACGTTTCGACTTGCTTGAACGCTTGCGGCTCTTGGGTTCCTCCCAGTCGTCTATGTCCATTGGCGCGTCCTCCGTACCCGTGGGCGGCGAGGAAGGCCGTCGAAGCGCGTCCTCAATCTCCACGAACTCCCTTTGCGATGGCGACACCAGTGGCGTCCTCTGTGTTGCGGGCTGCGTCGCAATCCATCCCGCCGGCGATCTTCCCTGCATTCCAGCAGTGGGCCCTGCGTTCCCTGGCCCCATCAGCAACACGGCCTGCTGGGAAGGTGGCGCTGCGCCTGCGTCATCCGTTGTTGTCTGCCCAGCAGGTGGATCTATGTCCATCGCCCCTGTCGCCACTGCGGGCTGCCCAGAAGGCCGCGCAACGCTCCCAGACGATTGGGCTGTCAACGAATGCGAGCTGGGCTGGTTTGGAATGCCCCCTCCAACCACGGGCGGCCAGGAAGGCCCTGCTGCGTGGCTGGGCGCGTTGGGAGTGCTCCCTCCAACTGCGGGCAGCCGGGAAGGTCCAGCTGCGTGGCTGGGTTCGTTGAGGGTGCTCGCCCCAACAGTGGGCGGCCGCGAAGGTCCAGCGGCGTCGTTGGGTTCGTTTTGCACACTCCCCTCTGCAGTGGGCGGCTCAGATGGTCCAGCGTCGTCGTCGTCGTGGACCTCTGCTGCGCTTTTCACCCTCCCTTTGGCCTTGGGTTTGGGTCGTGGCTTTGCAGCCGTCTGGCGCTTCGCCGCTGGCTTTGGCTTTGGCTTTGCCTTGCCCTTCACTCGCTGCTCAGCTCCTTCGTCCGCACCCCCCGTCGCTGTCTGCTCCGCCGCCTGTTCCTCCTCCTCCACGGTGGGCGTCTTGGAAGCCCATGAGATCGAGGGAGTCTGCGACCTCGATATCGACTCCAACCCCGCGTTCTTCGCCGCGCCTCTCGCAGTGCGGGTCTTAGGCAACGCCTTCTTCTTCTTCTTCTTGTCGTCGTCGTCCTCCTCTTGGTCGCTGTCGGAGACCGCATTCTTCTTCGATATGCCGTAGAAGACTTCCTCAAGCTTCTCGTTCTTCTCTTTCGAGAAGAGAGTGGCCAACATCTCGCCCTTCTCCCGCGCCATGGTGGACATGAGGACGTCCGTAGTGCCTAGGGCGACGAGGTGGTAGACGTGGACGGCGTTTTCTTGCGTGAGACGAGCAGCTCGTCCGATGATCTGCTCGGTGCCCACCTGCGACCATATCATGTCCTACATAGCTTAGTTACTTGATATATCAATGGACAATGAATAGAACGACTTACGAGCATAATGACGGTGTCTGCGCACGTCAAGTTCAGCCCAACGGCGCCGATAGACGAGAAGAGGAGCACTCGATGCTCAGCGGCGTCAGAGTGCACGAAGTCGTCGATGACTCGCTCTCGATCTTGCTTGTTCATGAGGCCGTTGAGCACGAGCACGCCGATTCCTTTCATTCGAAACACCTGTCCTCATTGTGAGTCTGCATGACGTTGGGATTCGCGTAGACTTACTGTCTCGATTGTCATCGCCATCATGGAGAATTCATGATATATCAGTACCTTGCGCTTTCGAGGTGGCCGTTGTCCGAGGAAAGCTGGCGGCGGCGGTGGAGGGAATACGACTTGCCCGTCGGCTAACGTAGGGTGTTCGATTTCGTCGTGGCTGAGGAGGTGGAGCACGAGACGTGCGACGAGGTCGAGCTTCGTGCTGGATATGTCGTCGTAGTGTCCGATCTTAGAGTTGCCGTGCTTGTCGAAGACAGGCCAGTCTTCGTTCGCGCCCTTGAAGAACGTGATGCCGCAACGGTAGGGCAGGAAGAAATTCTAGGGTACTGTCATCAGCATGGGCGGCCAAGACGGCCAGGTACGTACCTCGCGACTCAGATTCGCGGGGACGCCACTCTCCGACGACTCCATCTCGTCGACGATGAGCCCCAGATTCTCCATCTCGCGGTCGCTGAGCTTGAAGGTAAGTACGTGCTCCGTGATGGGAGGCATCTTCGTGTTGAGGGGCTTGCCCTCCAAGTCCACTGAGGTGAGCGTGCGACGGATCAAGTGGGGCGCCAGCTTCGCCTGGACGACCTTCGCCGCGCTATACTGTGCAAATCGTACCGCGATCCCAGCCTCTTCTTCTTCGATCTCGTCGCCGCGCAGGGCCCTGACCTGTCTGCTCTTCACGGCGTCTTTCTCCTCTTGCGACATCTCCCTCTTCGCCGCTCTAATGTCTCGGTTGAATTGACGCTCGAGTTGCTGGCCCTTCGACAGCACGAATTCGTCGTGGTTGCACATCCGGGCCATGTTGATGATGTCCTGGATCTTCGTGAAGAGCGGCGTGGCCGTTATTACGTGCGTCACGCGGGCGCACTCGTGCAATTGGCAAACCCCCGTAAGCCCTCGACCTGCGCCGCGAAACAGGTGCGCCTCGTCAATCCACGCGGTGCACCACTGGATGCCGAAGACGAGTTTGTCGATGTTGTCTGAGACAAGCGGACGTGGGCCGTCGACGTAACCTCCCCTCGCCTTCTTCACGATGTAGACCTCGCCAGCCATCATCTGGAAGGTCTACGTACGCCGTGAGTCACCGCACTACCTCTTCTATGAAATTGCTTACCGAATGTGCGCAGATGACGATGCGATTGATCATTTTCTGCTGCGATTGGAGCCACGCGTCGTCGGGATTCGTGAAGAACGTCTGTAGATCCCCCAAGGCGTTGGGGAGCTGGAAGATGTCGACGGAGCCCCTGGAGAAGAAGCGGTACAGCTCGTCCTTCCATTGCGCGACGAGGGACAGCGGGACGACGATGAGGTGGGGTTCGTTGGGCACGTACTCCGTCACGCCCATGAACCATGGCATGTTCCCTGTCGAAGTCAAGTCAATATTCTGGCCGTCGATTGCTGCGAACTCACGTATTATAGGTGGTCGATTCACCCTATCTCTCACCGCCTCGACTTGCTCGATAAGCTCGACTTGCTGGAGAAACGCGATCGTGGCCATGACTTGCGCGGTCTTGCCAACGCCCACACCGTCAGCAAGGAGGACGCCAGACATTGGCGCGCTCGTAACCCTGTCTCCGAAGAACATATTCGCGACGATGGCCGCCACGCCCACGAGCTGATGCCACAGCAAGCTTATGGGCTTGAATCCAGGTCCTCCCCTTGCGAACATGTCCAGCGTGATCTGGTTCAACGTGTTCGACGGTCCACGTCGAGTGACGGCGGGATTCGATGGGGTAAGTCCCAGGTGCCAGGCGGTGGCGCCGTCGTCGCGCACGAAACCGTTCCAGTTGCCTGGCCGCCCTTGCGCGAAGCTGAGGAGCACGCAGAGCTGGTCCACCGTCTTCTTCGACATCACCTCGACCCCCAAGTCCCCCTCGTCGGCGAAAGACGCATAGGCGTGACGCTCAGCCTCCGTCGGGCAATTCTCGAGGTCGCCCGCCAGCTCGAGGTGTGTTGCTATAGCTTGCATCGTACGAGCGACCTCCATCGCGTCGGCCATCTCCGCTGGCATGATATGGATCTTACGGGCCTTTTTGCGAGCCGCCTCCACTGCGCGCTAGTAAGTACTTTGCGCTGCGTGCGACATGATGTAGACTCACTCTTCTCGTTAGCCTTTGGCTTCTTCGAACGAACGGGCGTATCGAGTTCCCCACGAGGGAGCTCAGCGGCAATGCGGACCGCCTCCTTGAGCTTCACGATATTCTCCTCGGCCTCCAACTGGAGGTTTGGATACCATCCAGCGAGCCGTTCGACGTTCTTGCTAGCTTGTAGCGCCGCACGGATGGACGCCAAGGTCGTTCCCTGAGGACCAGGCTCCTCGACAGCTTGGATAAATAGTAAGTCAGTAACGTCGCAATGGTCGATATGAATGACAAACCTTTCACCGCATCGCGCATCAACTTGACCTTCTCGTCAGCCAGGGTTCCCGCACGTAGGTAGGCCTTCCCCATGCGGGACACATTGTGGATCAACATGGTCTTGAAGTTGGCTGCGATCGCCGCATCCATGAGGACGTCGCCGCTCATGACGACTTCGCCAAACATCTCCACCGCGACGGGGGTAAGGCAGGCGTTGACAAGCAAGTTCGCCGAGGGGAAGTCGTCCACCTCCTGCGAGGCCAAGACGGACTGAGGGTGATAACCGCACTCGCGCATTGCTGATTCGACGAGGGCGTTAACCCTTGGCGCGAGTCGCTCGCGGAACCAGTCGCCGTAGACCTTGCGTTCGGATGTACAATCGGCGTGGTTAATGACGAAGTTTACCTTCTCGTCGTTCGGCTTCTTCATCACAATCTCGATGAAGGACTTGATAAGCTGGACCTGGTGGAACGAAAGGTCGGGCGGCTTGAATTTGTCCGTCATCAGCGTCGAAAGGCCGAGACGCTTGAGGACAGTCTTGTCTTCAAGCATGCACGTCGGTTCCCCGCCCTTGACGTGGCGCTGGAACTTCGTCGTGAGGATCGCTAAAAAGGTTGCGGAGTATCGTGAGCTGGGCATGTTATCGTCGTCAGGATTTGTTCGTCACTCACCATTTCTTATAGGGCTGTCGTACCCGGGCCTCCAGGCCGCCCATGGTTGCGGAGATCTGACTACTTTGGCGAAACCAACCCGTGGAATCGATATCTCGGCAGTTCCCACGAACTGACGGGCGTCTGACAGGGCGTCTACGTCCTTTGTCTTCCGCGTTCACTCAGCGAAGTCGGATGAGCCACCAGCGTCCACACGATACAATCGCACCTGAGATCAACAGCCTCCGGTGAGTAATGACCCCGTTCGCAAAGATGTAAATGACTCACCATCAAATCGATGAAGATCGCCTTGCGTCTTCGCCTCTGGCCTGCCTCGCAGCCCACACGAGCAGGGGGACGGCTTGTGACGCATTCGCGCGATGCGCTGGACACTTGGCAAGTTTCGAGCGCCGCCAATAGCCCCCGGTGAGTCGTGACTCCACTCGCGAAGTTGTAATTGACTGATCATGAAATCGATGAAGATCAGCATGTGTCTCGTCGTATGGCCTGCCTGGCGGCCCACCTGAGGAAGAGGACGACTCGAGACGCATGTGCATGATGGGCTGGGCACTTGGCAAGCCTTGAGCTCGGTCTTTCCCATCGCTCACCCTGACTTATGACATCAATTGCACGCATCGCCTTCCTGGCCGGCCACGCTACGCACGACGACGATCTCCCCCCCCTTTCCACTCAACGGCCTTCCTGGCCGGCCACGCTACGCGCGCAAACGATCTCCCCGCCTCTCTCCTCAACGGCCTTCCTGGCCGGCCACGCTACGCACGCAAACGATCTCCCCGCCTCTCTCCTCAACGGCCTTCCTGGCCGGCCACGCTACGCGCGCAAACGATCTCCCCGCCTCTCTCCTCAACGGCCTTCCTGGCAGGCCAGCCTACGCACGACGACAGCCTCCCTGCCTCTACGCCACGGCCTTCCTGGCCGGCCACGCTACGCGCGCAAACGATCTCCCCGCCTTTCCACTCAACGACCTTCCTGGCCGGCCACGCTACGCGCGCAAACGATCCCCCCCGCCTCTCTCCTCAACGGCCTTCCTGGCAGGCCAGCCTACGCACGACGACGATCTCCCCCCCCTTTCCACTCAACGGCCTTCTTGGCAGGCCAGCCTACGCACGACGACAGCCTCCCTGCCTCTACGCCACGGCCTTCCTGGCCGGCCACGCTACGCACGCAAACGATCTCCCCGCCTTTCCACTCAACGACCTTCCTGGCAGGCCACGCTACGCGCGCAAACGATCCCCCCCGCCTCTCTCCTCAACGGCCTTCCTGGCAGGCCAGCCTACGCACGACGACAGCCTCCCTGCCTCTACGCCACGGCCTTCCTGGCTGGCCACGCTACGCGCGCAAGCGATCTCCCCGCCTTTCCACTCAACGACCTTCCCGGCAGGCCAGCCTACGCACGACGACGACCCCCCTGCGTTGCCACTCAACGACCTTCCTGGAAGGCCACCTTACGCACGACGATCTCCCCGCCTTTCTCCTCAACGGCCTTCCTGGCAGGCCACGCTATACACGCAGGCTACGCACGAAGACCTTCCTGGCCTCCCATTCTGCGATACCAATGGCCGGGGGTGCGCGCCCTTCACTCAACGGGCTGCTTGGCCGCCCAACCTGCCCTCTCACTTCCCTCACGCGCCTCAGGCGTGGTCGACGCCCGCGATCCACGGCCTTCCACTCAGTAGGCATCCTGCCCGTCTGCATGTTCATTGAAATATGGCAGCTTCGCGAGCCGCGCCCATCACCTTCCTGGACGCCCATCTTGCGCTCGACTTGCTGCGCCAACTCTCGACTCGACCTCGCCTCTACGGGGGCCTCCCAGACGCCCACTCCTACTTACGAGCAACGAAGGTAAGTTCTCATTCGCTAGCAAACACTACGTATTGACCACCAGTCTACTTTGCAAAGGGTACTAGATTCTAGTACGCTTTCTCTTTGGCTTATCTCGGCCATGGGCGCCCTCTTCGTCCTCCGTACTTCCTTCATCCTCGTCCGATTCTTCAACGCTCGCCTTTCGTTTCAAGACTTTGGATTTAGCGGCGCGTTTGCGTGCCACAGGGTGAGCTTTTCCTTTACCGCGACCATTCTTTTTAACGGAATTCACTGCCTTTTTCGCAGCGAGTTTCTTGGCCTCTTCGGCGAAGGGGTCATCTTCGCTGTCTGTATCGAAATCTGGAAGAGGTCCAAGACGATGGGCCTTGGCGGCAGGGTTCGCAATTTCCGCTGCGAGTTTCTTGGCCTCTTCGGCGAAGGGGTCATCTTCGCTGTCTGTGTCGAAATCTGGAATGTTGTCCATAGACAGAACGTAGCGTCCAGTCGGCGCTTGGGGGCCAGTCGCCGCTGGTTTGCTAGCGGGTGCGCCTACATCCTCCTCGTCTGTGCTTTCCGCAAAGGCTGCAAGTGCTTCAAGAGTGAAGGGCTTGTCCTTCGGCCAAGGCCGCCTTCCTCCTCTCTGCGCCTGCGCCTTTCCTTTGCCCTTGTCAAGACTCTGGCGCTGAGGGCGTTGCCTCTGTGCGTTGGCGATGGTAGGACCCAACCTCGAAGGTCCCTCTCCCCTGTCACTCCTCATGCTCGCTCCACGAAGTCCCCTCCCAACGCTTGGGCGGCTTGGATGCCCGTCCACGAAACCGCTCTCGTGGCTGCTCTCGTGCCGTGGTTCCTCTTCTACACGCGGGCGGCCAGGCGTGCCATCTGGTGCTCCATGACGATCTCCAAAGTCTTCGAAGTCCGGGCTTGGTTGTCGCCCAGCGTCATTCCCTGGTGTCGCGTCGCTTTCTACACGCGGGCGGCCAGGCGTGCCAGGCGCACTGGTCGGAGCCCTAGGTGGATTCACCGCAGCCTGATTGCGGGGGATCACTGGGACGGCTGTGTTCCAGACCAGCGCGTCTTCCAGCCATGGTGTCCACAGTATCTGAGGTCCAGATAGGCCATCTCTCGCGAAGGGATCGTCGGGATCGCTGCCAGGCTCAGGGTATTGAGCCCAGGGCGCACCCATGCGATTCGAACGCCATGGTCGGTCGTTGGTCGCGTTGGGTATCCAGGTGAGCTTTTTGAACTCCTTCCAAATGACTTTGCGGACTTCCATCGCGTTGGTTTCGTTGAGCGACGCTAATAAGGCCTTCCAGTCTTGGTAGTAGATCATAAACGGCCAGCCTTGAGCGCTCGGCGGAAGATCGTGGCCCTTCGGAGGGAAGATGGCATTGAACGCGTCCTGCCATTGTTGCTTCGTCGCCGCCTTTACCTGGACCCTCGTGAAGACGACAGCAAGATTAGTCGTCTTCATCTTCTCGATTCCTGCCACCCGTCTTTCCGTTTGGCTCAGCCTACAATAACTCGAGAGTCCCCAGTCTTTTGGGTTGCCGATCTTCTGAAGGACGCAGCTGGGGAACTGTTGCCAAAGCTCCAGTGCCTTCTGCTCCACGGTTTTACGGGGTGCGGCCTCAAGGACATGCGTCGCAGCGTCAACGTCGGGGCCCGTTTCCTGGGTAATCATCTCCTCGACGGCCTCGAGGCCGAAAAAGTTGGGCGGGACGTCAATCGTCGACGGACCAGTACGAGCGCGGCTCATTCCTTTGTTCATGCGGAACCGTGTACGGGGTAGATCTCGTCGCCTGGTGATCCCTGTCGCGCCAAACATACGACGGAGTTCTGGTAGGGTCTTGTTGAAGACCCATTCATAATGTTCCAGTGGAAGTCGGTCGCCAACGGCCAGTCGCACCGTGTTCGATTCAGGGGGGAAGTAGATTCGGCGCATGAACAAGACACCATACGGGGAGAAGGTAGCAGTGGTATTGGTCGAGACGTGCGCAACTGCATTGTCATCATAGCCTAGCTGGACTAAGTCGTCGTGAGTGTAATCTGCATACTTGGGCAGTGCAATATCATGGCACGCCCGGCCGCCCGTTTGATTGTCAGGCCTGCTGTGAACTCCATTGATCATCCATACAGTGGCCGCGTAAGTACTGAGCATCGCCGCTGAAACGCATTGGTCTGGCGCCTGGTCGTTCATCGCTGAGAGTAGCCTCGCGAAGGCATCCATTCGCACTACCCTCCAGTTCCTAAGCCAACGTAAGCACGGGCGGCCTGGAAGCCCAGAGTGAAATATTGAAACTGACCAAAAATTATCTCGGTGGATGCTGAGAACCGATTCTCGGATAGTGTTCATGTCGAATTCAACTAAGAAGTTAGTTGCGTGCTGGAGAGGCAGCCTAACTTCGAGTCGAGCGGCGACGTTCTTCATGCGGGCTTGTTCGTATGCCGAACTGAGTTCTGTACAGTATTTCGGCGGAAATCCTTCCATGGCCATGGTCCCAGTGATGTTCTGCGAGTGCTGGGAACCAAACTTGTGGTAAGTTAAGCTCTTGTCCGTGGTGTACGCTTGCATGTATGTGGCCTCCATTTCGCCTATCGGAGACCTGAAGGAGACGCGGAACCCTGCCACCTCAAGCAAGTGCGCATTGACGTCGTATTCGAATCTACGCGATCTCGCGATTACTCCTGCCTGATCGAGCGTGAGCTGTAGCACATATGCAATAAGCGATTGAGCTGCATCCTTTCGCCAAACGATAGCACGGTTCCCATCTTGAAGCTCGATGCCAACGTCCACCCACCACTGCCCTTGTCGAGTGTCGAAGTCTTCGAACATCCTTGCCATAGCCGAATCAGCTTCATAATGTGACATATCATGGACGGTAGAGCCTTTGATTCCTTGGATATGCGTGCAGAACAAACAATAGCGGAAGCGAGGATGTTCTTGTAGTCGGCGGTGGAGTTCACGTTTGAACGAAGGGAGTAGATTGCTGCTGATTATATATGCGCTCGTTTGATAACCACGGCCAGTGTTGTTCGCGCGAAAGCGTTCTGCACGTGCAGTGGTTGGCCAGTCTTTAGCAAGGTGCGGTGCTATAGTTGTGATGGTTGGTCGGACTATGGTGTCATATAACTCGTCAGATTCCGCCATGGACAATTTAACGGGACTCTCTCGCTCATCGGACATGAGTTGGGGGAAGAATAGACGAAGTTGATGACGGTCATTGAACTTTGCAAGTAGTATATTGGGCACTTTCGATGGATCCAGACTTCGGAGGCCCTAAATAATTACCGAAGTCAGTGAATGGGCTGCCCAGAAGCCCACTGTGAGACTGCAACATACCTGAGGAGTATGAAACTGGACTTGCACATGCATTTTGGCGTAAATGGTTGAAATGTGCGGCGGCGGCAAGCAATAAACGTAAAGATCACGTCTAATGGGAATTCGGTGCGTAAAGCCTATGAAAGAGTCGTAATCGCGAGTCAAAGTGGGAATAGCAGCATTCGGGCGGAGGCGGTGGTTAAGTATGAGATTCAGTCGAATATGGGCTTCTTCATCTTGCAAGTCGATGCCGGAAAGCGCAAAGTTGACTAGATCACGGTCTTGGTCTTCATACCATTCATCATTGCACATGTCGGTGTACTTCTGAATGAAATCGGCAAGAGATAGATCACGAAGTGGAGCCATGCTAGTTGGGGGAAAAGGGAAGAATAAATATCTTTCGGTATGAGAGCCTCCTTATATATAGCAAAGAAACTTATGTGTTATGTAAGGAGCGAAATAAATGGTGCCATTTTTCAAAAATTAAATTGAAGACCTAAGACGATGTTTGGCATGCCGGGCAGGTTATGCGGTGGGATGGAACATGAATGAACGACTAGTAAGACGGTGTTTGGCATGCCGGACAGGTTATGCGGTGGACTAGGACATCAATTAACAACTAGTGAGACGGTGTTTGGCATGCCGGGCAGGTCATGCGGTGGAATGGAACATTAATCGGCAACTTGTGACATGGGCTTCCTGGAAGCCCTTGCTTACAGTAGCATATGATAATACTCATATATTAAAGATATACGGTAGTATATACATCTATTATGATTACAACGAATCGTAACGGTGCTACAAAGATGGCGGGATATTCCATACATTGAGAATTGCTATCGTGAAGATGAAAATGGTAGTCGGAAATTGAAGATACAGAGCGCGTATGGTGTAGCGGAAACAGAGCGAGGATTAGATGCGAACATGTACAAGGAATACTAAAGCCGAACGAGATATAAGAAATATATACAGATCCGCAATAAACATATAGTCGCTTATACAGTCGCATGATACATACGTACAGTTACTGATATGGTATACGGTATACATTGATTGGAGCTGCATCGCGAAAATATATATGTATTTGGGTTATATGGTAAACATATTATAGTCAACATATACATGTACTATCGTGTTATCTTATGCTTAGCCAGTGCTCAAGTTTACAATGAATATCTATTTAACCGTAAGATTTATCTTCATGTACCGTATAAATTCAAAGATTGTTAATTGCGCACTCGGTGTAAGCAAGATGCGGCTTAGTTGGAATCCGACCCGTTCGAGCTATACATGGCTATAACTCAGTACTGATTAATATGAGTACTTATAGCTGGAACTCAAACCCGAAACCCAAGCTACAAGCTTCATGCATATCTGTAACCCGATCCGCAAGCTGTACATATATTAACTACCCGAACTGCAAGTTGCTGTTGCACATGCACACACATATCGTTGTATATATTATCCGAGTGTTTGTATGATTGACTTAGTGTTGCTGGAGGTAAATTTAAGATAGAGTAAAATTTAGGGTTATGGGATTGTTTTTCATATTTCCTAGGGAATTTTTAGGGATGGAATTTTTTCCCTAGGGTAGGGTAAGTGATGGTAGGGAAATGGTGATAGGGAGGACGATAGGGATACAGAGATAGGGAAATGATACGGAGCTGGTGGCAGGGAATATGGTAGGGAAGTAGCAGGGTTCATATGAGAGAGATGGTAGGGAATTGGTGGTAGGGAAAATAGCAGGGATGCATAACACACAGATGCTAGGGGAAAATGTAGAGGAATGGTGGTAGAAAAAACATTAGGGACACAATAGGGTACATGAGAGAACACTGCTAGAAGACTAGTGACAGGGAAAACAGTAGCAAAGGCACTAGCATGAAGCTTAGGAGCAAGGAATGGGGAAACCATTAGGGATGGAGTGAGAAATGGTGCTGAAAATGCCAAAGATGAAAATAGGGATTGATAAGATGTATAGAACAGTTGTGTGGCCGTCTTGGACGACCTGGTGTGTGGTGGGATGCATTGGTGGTGTGGGGAATGTTGTAACAGATTCCATCGATGTATATTATTACAAGACGGAGTCAATGGGTCAGTGCGTGGGAAGACGAAGTGGGTCAGTGCGTGGGATGTGGAATGGGACAGTGCGTGGGAAGGCGGAATGCACATCGGAGCGCTGACAGTTTCGTGGGAAAACGGAAGCAATTTCGGGGCGGTCATAATTTCGTGGGAAAGCGGGTAGACATCAGTCAATAGCGGGTGAGCACTATACGCGCTGCGTGGCCGTCCTGGACGGCCACAAGTGGATCATGAGTAAGTATGGACCAACAAAAACTCAGCATATATGCTGTAGAGTATGTTTCTGACCGTCCAGGACGGCTATACGCAGTGCATGTCAACAGTCAACTCCACAGCAAGCAAGTCAAGTAAGTGGATACACGCAATCACGATTATTTGGCGTGTCGGCGAAGCGACACCGTCAAATCGTCGTGTTTGTCGTGTATTCACTTACTTGACTTGCTGTGGAGTTGACTGCTGAGAATTACTAGAAAATACCTTGTGATCACAGCGGCGACAGGTAAAGTAATAAATAAGTAAAGAGTTGAGAAGAAAGCATCATTTATGGGTTAGTTGAAAGTAGAGATGAGAATGTGACAACTTGAACTTGCCGTCCCGGACGGACAAATGTGGGCACGTTCTTTGTGTGTGCATTATCGTTAATAACCAGCATAATATTCCATCATGTGTGAGTGTGTGTGTGTGCGTGTGTGTACACACAAATACAAAGCTCAAATGAATACAGGGCAAACAAAACGGTGGTCGAAAACTACAAATGTATGTCACGCGTCACGATTACAAATTTATGTCACACGTCATTATGTACAAATTTGGGTCGTCGCAATTGTCATTTTTGTCACGCGTCACATTTACCAATTTGGGTCGTCACAAGTAATATTTTTGTCACGCGTCACATTTACCAATTTGGGTCGTCACAATTATTATTTTATTGTCACTCGTCACGATTACTAATCAGTCACGCGTCACGGGCGCTTAGACTATGGAAAAACCGTAGTCGTCTGGTCTTGGGCGCCTAAAGCGCTGACAAATCCCGCCCTTCCTATTTGGGCGAACGGCGCCTCTCTCACTACACCCGTCACCACACATCTTCGCCCTCACCTCATTACCAACAACCACACCATACAACACAACGACTATCACTCTTAACAATGCCATCCCTCTACATTATCTCGACAACTCTCGCTTCGCGTCGTTGCCGAGGACGACGACAACAACTCCAAACAGCAGTAATGACGGCGTTGATCGCCAATCAGGCGACGATCGAGGCAGACGGGAGACACGACTACGAGTCGTTGACTCACTTCGTCATCGTGTAAGTCAATTTCTTTGTCGTTCGCTCTGCGCTAACTTGTTTTAGCGGGGCCCCGCATAACAGCGTCTCAGAGTCACAATCACACGTGACTGTGAGGGGCTACATCGACGACGCCCCCGCCATAACCATTCACGTCAAATTTTCGCGGCGATGGAACGTAAAAGAAGTCAGGACGTTTCGGGGGGGACTGGCTGTGACCGCGTCCGACTTGGATTTTGTTTGGTAAGTAATGTCACATATACCCTTCTATTCATCACTAACGCCTTTTCGCAGTGATATATAGTAGCATTATGTAGCTTCCGATTTTTTGTCGACAGAATTGCTTGTAAAATTCGCGATCGATGTAGCTTCTGACGTCGACCATTACGTAGATGTTGTTTTGGCCCAGGTAAGGTACTAACAAAGATAATTAAAAATCATGCTGACAATGTTATATGTAGGCCACCCATCGCCCTCGACTGCTCGCCAGCCCCGACGCAGATCTCATTCATATAAACGAGCTCTATCACTGTAAGTTCTTCACTTGCTCTACATAATTGACCGTCCAGGACTGACATATTGTTTCATCCTCATTTCGTGCTGCGTTACGCGACGAATAAAAGCACAGGCGTGTCCAACGACACAAATACACGGTGAGTACGTCCACGCCTACTCATTTCGTGCGTGCTGTGTTACGGCGACGAATAATACAAGCAGCGTGTTCAACGACACAAATACACGGTGAGCACGTCCACGTCTATCTTGACCGTCCAGGACTGACAATTTGTGTCATGTTCATTTTGTGCATGCTGTTTTACGCGACGAATAATACAAGCAGCGTGTCCAACGACACAAATACACGGTGAGTACGTCCACGCCTACTCATTTCGTGCGTGCTGTGTTACGGCGACGAATAATACAAGCAGCGTGTTCAACGACACAAATACACGGTGAGCACGTCCACGTCTATCTTGACCGTCCAGGACTGACAATTTGTGTCATGTTCATTTTGTGCATGCTGTTTTACGCGACGAATAATACAAGCAGCGTGTTCAACGACACAAATACACGGTGAGCACGTCCACGTCTATCTTGACCGTCCAGGACTGACAATTTGTGTCATGTTCATTTTGTGCATGCTGTTTTACGCGACGAATAATACAAGCAGCGTGTCCAACGACACAAATACACGGTGAGTACGTCCACGTCTATCTTGACCGTCCAGGACTGACACATTGTGCTGAGACCTCAGAGATAATGAAAATACTTATTGAGTACTGCGTTTTCGTACACAAAAGTAAAACTAATGACGGGAGGGGAGGGGAGACGACTACGATATCACCACTACTAGCGCCTTTTCTTTGCTTTGAACGGGTTTGTTGGCTTCTTTGTCAGCGCGGGGAGATCTTTGAGCTCGACGTCAGTGCTGTGAGCAGAGAATCTGGTAGGTTGTCGATGTGGCGGCTGTTCAGCGTGTGAATGCAAGACTGCTGTAGAACAAAGTGCACTGAGCCGTCCGTATTGTCATGAGATTAGAGTAACACAAACCTTTGTTCCTAGTGAGGCTTTGGAGAAACGACGGAGGCCTTGGCTGTTCAAACTCATCTGAGTCTTCGTTCGACAGTTCTGAGGGAATTGGCGGTGAAGCGTTAATCCCTCGACCAATTGAGTCTACAGTCTCTTGTGATGAGTGTGGCGCTGCCTCTACCCCAGAATTGAGGTGATCATTGGCCCCAGACCTGAGGGCTTGCAGATTTGCAAGTCGCCCAGCACGAGATCCTTCCGCCTTTCTGCCCAGCTTCGTCTTTCCAAGAGTACTTCCAGGCGTAGGTGAGGTAGGCCTCGGCGAGAACCTGACACGCTTGCTATCTTTGTCCCGCTTTTTCTGAGGCGTGTCGGGATATGGGTCACGGTTTCGCCGATGCGAAGAGATTGTAGGCTTCTTGGAGGTTGATTCGTCACCCACATCCATATCTGGCTTATCAATCAGATC